ATCCTGCCCTCTCCAGATCAGGCATTTATCTTAGTGTGGCTCCTGACCATGTTTTCCTGTTGGTTTTTTTTTTTTCAAACTGAGTGAAAAAGCCTCCAAATTGGGGCAGCCAAGAGCCTCCGTCAGGGGCTGGCAGGGAAGTTTTGGGGTGGGCAGTTGCATAAGATTGCACTGACTTTACAGCTGCATTGTGTCTGTTCTGAGTCCTAGGACTTTGCCTAGAGATGCTTAGCAGGCAGAGAAGGCAACTGCTGCAATTTCTGTGCCCCTGGCACTGACCTGACCAGCAGTCATTCAATCCCAGAAAGTCTGGGAAAGTCTTATACCATCCCATATGTGCCAGGCGAGCAGTCCTTTCCTGGAGGCTCACTCACTCCCAGAGGGCTCCAGCAATCTCTTTGGTTGTACCTCCTTGTAACTGCTCTTTTATTTGTTATTTTAGCAGCCGCCAGTGATTTATTTTCATGCTGAATATAATCACAAAGGTAAACTGAGCTGTGCTGATTTTTCCTAGAAAATTTGCACTGATAGTTCTGTGGCTCTTTACAAGGGCACTACAACGCACTGGAAACCCAGACAACTCCTGCCCTGTTCTTTTAGATGTTTCAAGTCAGCAGGTGCCAGATGTTTGTATATGGGATGTGCTGTGGTGGGGGAAGTGTGGTAGGAGACATGGGAACCGTGCTGGAGGCTGCTGGTTTTGCAGATAACTCACCAGCCAGCTTCCATCCTAATTTGAATCCCAGCATCAGTAGGTATAATGCACAAAATACCAACAGGCAGGAGTTGGGAGTGCCCCCTTCAGAGGACATTGTTCTTTCTGGGATGCTTGGAGTTGTTGCAAGGAAGGTGCTGACCCTGAGAGGGGTGATTAGGAGAGGGACAGACCTGTTATTTCTGTGGTGTTGCACTGGAGTGGGCACCATCCACTGCTCAGCTCGTGCTCTGCAAGTGGCTGAGTGAACATTCCTCAGCCTGCACTGTGTCAGCACTAACGTGTCCTGCCTCCAGATCACTGTCCTGCAGAGTTTTACTGTTTATCAAACAATGCCAGGTCTGAAATCATCCCCTGCTCTCCCCCTACTCTTTAAGACAGGATTCAGGCTAACGTGGAGAGGCTTTTGTGTAGGGATGTAAGAACAAGGATGCTGAACGATGCTTAGCCCAGCATCCCGCTCCCAACAGCAGCTGGTAGCATGTGTCCTTGGCAAGGAGCAAGAGTGGAGGCTGTAGCTTCTATACCCAATGCCCTCTAAGCCAAAAGTTGCATAATTGTTTTCAATAGCCCTTGATGGCCCTTTCTGCTGTGAACACTCCAGTCTTCTCTTGAATCCTTTTATTGCTTTCAGCCCTCTCCATCTCCTCTGCCTGTGAGCTCAGTGGCTGCCACAGTGTGAGAAAAGGTTCTGCCTGGCCCTGGCACTTGCTGTCTCATCATTTCACTGGCTTCTCCTGAGTATTTTATTATAAGAAACAGTGATTCACCATTCTCCATATGAGGGTTAAAACCAGCCGTGATCATATGTACCTCCATGATGCCTCGTACGAAAGATTCTCTCTTTTTTAATCTCCAGTGGTTCACAGGCAGAAAATAAACCTGTAGCATCTTTGGGACAATACTGAAAGTACACAAATAGATCATGACATATTCCCAGAGAGAGTTACTAACCAGCAACTCTCTGTAAATCCTTACTGCAGCAAAGAGATTCAAGTAAAACTGGTGTAAACACCCTATTTTGGTAATGTGGTAAAATGTGTGTATTGATTCAAAAGGCAAAGCAGAGAGGAAAGACCCTTGTGAGGGAGCATGGGACTGCATTAGCAGCATTGCTACTGGAAAACATTGTCCTTGAGACATCTAAAATTCACATTTCCAGTCTGCCTGGGTGCATTTAGAGAGAAACACATTTTCTCAACCACACACCCAGTGAGAGACACTCGGCTTGAGCAACTTTAGGGAAACTGTCTGTGCTCACCAGCCAGAACTGTGTCTGCTCCTGATTCCTGGAAGGGTCCCTTGAATGCCTTTCAAAGCACCTGCCATTCGAAACAAGGAGTTTGTGTGGCCTGGAGGACCCTCCTATATCTTCCCATCCCTCAATAGGAAGAGATTTTTTATCAGCTAGGAGGGGACAAGAGCCACTTTCCCAAATGCCAAGGTTTCACCTCACTCTGAGCCAGCGTGAGTCACCCAGACACTGCTGTGTTCCACAGACCTGTTCAGGTTAATAAAATCACTTCCAGAGCCTGGGCAGCTCACGGAATGCTGTGTGGCTTTCACATTGACGTCACGACTTCTCATTTACCCTTGGGTGATAGTGACCAAAATTCATTACTACCTGGCAGCCGTCGGGTAAGCCGTGCAAAATAAATCAGCGTTCTCCAGAGCAAACAGGTGTCTGCAGCACAAAAGGAGCCCTTCAGATCAGCAGGGCAGGAAGGGTTTTTTCACCAGAGAAGCGAAGACATGAATGAGTTGTTAGAGTGAGAGGAATTTGCAGGCAAAGAGTGATAAGGGGGAGAGATGGGGAGATTTTGCTATAGAAACAGTGGCTGGAGTGTGGGGAGAGGGAGAGAGCAACCGAGAGAGACAAGGAGTTAAAGTCAGCAATTCAACTTTATTATAGCAAAACAAGAACACTGAATGAAACTGGGAAATACATTTAAAAGTGTGAAGAGGAGCTATCTTGCTCAGTGAAGTGGCCCTTACCACAGTGTAACTCGGTGGCCAGAAGTGCCATGGGGCTGGAGAAGGGTAAGGGCATCTGCATCAGCAGGGAGAGGCACAGGCACCTTCAGGACACACAGCCCCTGGTGTTTCTGCCTCTGTAGAGGTTATGGAGACTTTCAGGACAGGACCCAGACATCAGCTCATGAAACATGAGAAAAAAATTCTCCTCTGGGATACTTTAAAACGTGGATCTCTTGCACTTTCGAATGCATCGCTTGGCCATTTTCAGCGCTGTCCACATGGGACAGGGCTGGTGTGCCATCCCCATGGTCTTCTCATTGTCATTCATTCAGGGCAGAGGTAAATATGTTGGCCAGGGCAATGTCAGGAATTTTCAGTGTTCTGTCCCATCTGGTCTCAGGGTACAGGATGTGTTTACAGGACCTGAAGTCAGAGGGCATTCAGAGCAAGCTTTTAATGCTCCTCAGCCCGGTGCATTTCGCCAGCCCTAAAAATAAGCCTTGAAATAAGAAATAAAATCTTCACAGGCTTTCCTCCACAGCTACTAAAAGATCAGGCAGTAGGTGCACGCTTATATCACCTGCAAAAATGCAGATATTCTCATTTCCCAGCACCCATAAAATCCATTTCTCACCCAAAGTAAATCTGGGTCATTGTAATTTCTTTCTCCTTCATACAAAAAGAGAATAGTGATGGCAGATGGTGCTGCCTGTTAAGGAGAAATGTTTTGTTTTCCAGGCAGATTATTGTTAACACAAAATGTTATTGAGCGAGCATTACAAAGGTGGGAATACTGTGGGGTTGAATGGTTCTTTTTCTTTTTTTCTTTTTTTCTTTTTTTTTTTTGTGAGCTAAAGGCTCCCTAGAAGTCTAGAGGACATTATTTGAAACTTAGATTTCCCTTGTTTAGTAATTAAAAAAAGCCTGCATTCATCAAAAATCTGAGTGCCATTAAATGCCAACTGATTTCCCAGGAGGGCTGCTGTGTTTGCTCTGGGGCTGGCTGAGAGGAGAGCCCTGCTGTGCCAGGCACTGGGACACCAGCAGCTGGGGCACGGGCTCTTCTGGCACCAGCAGGCAGTGCACATCCCCTCACTCTCAGCGCTGGGCAGGCACGGGGAAGGGGCTGATCTCCAGTTTCATTCCTGCCTTTTGGGTCTTTGTTGTATTTTCTTTTGTCCCACCTGTTGCCTGGTCTGATGTGTGTTCACTTGGATCTTTGGAAGATTTCCTCTCTTTATGAATGCAGATCCAGTGCTCAGCACAATAGAATTCTCAAGCTTTAGTGGGGCCTTTCGATGCTAACGTAATAAAAATACACAATTTATTTATCAAAGCCTCCTTTAAAGGAGATGATGGAAGAAAAAGGTTTTAACCTACTTCTGATCCTCAGGAAAAGCCAGCACTTTGATTCTCTCCTTCCCAGACAAATAGCATTGCATTAGTTGATTCTGGTTTTATTAGCTATAAACCACTTTCTATTTTTATTTTCACATGCCATTGACTTTGTTTAGTACAGACATAGCTGAACAAGGGCTGGTTTTTCAAGTGCAGATCATGTTAATAGATGCCCAGTTCTTTCCACTCCACCCACGGGAACATAGCTGTAAAAAAGAGAGCTGAACCCAAAGAATATTTTCCTATTGCATTTCTTAAATCACCTCTGAGGCCACATCATCCCTGCTGAATTCCCAAAGGTGCAGAGGTGACGGTGGCTTTAGGACTTCTGGCACTGTCTCTTCACATCAGGAGAATTTATTTGCATGGAGGAGTGAAACAATACGATCAGACAATGAAATCTCAAGTGGTAAAGTGTGTGAAATTCTCCACTACTATTACTTTTAATGGTGCTGTTTCTAGCATTTCATCACTGCTTGCAACTAGAACTGATGGGTTTGGAGCAGAGAGTGCCTCTTATAGCTGCTCTTCATCAGCACAGGGTGAGCAGCAGCAACCAGTCAAGTTGTTGCTGTATCCAAAGGGCATCTCTGCATCCAGAAATGGAGCTGTGGGGAGAGCTCCCTGTTGAGAAGTTGATCTATCTAATCATGTGACTGTTGACCGGGCAACAGGCTACACATCGAGTTGTCCCCAGTAAAAATCATTTGTCTGAAAACTTGATCTGAGTTAAAATACATAATCTCTTTCTCTCGTTAGTTGCTTCTTCCCCTGTCTCAGTATTTTTGAACTGGTGGTGGGAGTGATTAGAAGAAAAGGTTTTTTCTATCATTAAAATATCTGGTTCAGAAAGACCTCTCAAGAGCCATTAAATGCAGATGAGGGTACGAGGCGCGTCTCCTGAGCAGCATTACAAGGAAGTGTTCTCACTGGAGACAGTGTTCAGAGCTGGGTGGTGGCAGGGGCTCAAGTATCCACACTTGTTCTTATGGCCACGACTTCCCTGGCGTCTCCTGCCCGTGGCTGGGGAGGCAGAGGGTCCTTTCCTTGCAGGCTCCTTTGAACTCTGGTAAGAGAGCAGCTCCGGGACCGAGGAATGTGTCGTCCCTTCGGATAGAGAGAAGTTAAAGAGAGAGACCATTCTTTGGTGGTATTTGCTCTTCATTTCCTTGGCTGACCTGTAGAGATTCCCAACAAAGCAATAACATATAGGGTTGAGGCTGGAATTGGTGAGGCCAAGCCACTGGGCAAAAGGTCTGAGCTGCAGGATCCAAGGAGAAGGAGTCACATCCTGCAAAGATTTGGGGATGTTGAAATCAATCCAGATGTCCATCAGGTAGACGGGCAGCCAGGAGATTGCAAACAGCAGGACCAGGGCCACCACCATCTGCGCTACCTTCTTCCGGATCTTCAGCCTGGAGGCTGGCAGGGACCGGTTCAGGGCAGTGCCCTCCTTCAGCTGCCCGCCGCGGCTCCACAGCCGGCGCACCGTCAGGAAGCAGATGACCATGTTGAACAGCACCGGCAGGCAGTAGAGGGCACAGAAGAGCAGAAAGTTGTAGGCTTGCTTGAGCCTCTCCTGAGGCCAGATCTCCCTGCAGATGGAAAACACCAGAGGCAAGCCCTCCACCACCCCAATCTCATCCCGTTTGTTCATGAAGATGAGTGGCATGCATATTCCCGAGGACAACAACCACACCACCAGGATGGTGCTGAGGATCCTCTTCTGGGTGAAGAAAGATCGGGCGTGGAGGGGGTTGTGCACGCTGTAGTACCGGTTCACGCTGATGACGGTCAGGCTGAGGACGCTGGCAGAGACAGAAACAGCCTGGATGAAGGGCACTGCCCGGCAGAGGAAGTCCCCGTACACCCAGGCTTTGTAGATGAGGTTGCCCACGGTGATGGGCATGCAGACGCACACCACCATGAGGTCGCACACCGCCAGGTTGATGAGGAGGCTGCGGGTGGCACTCAGGCTGGACGCCCGACTCCGGCGCTTCCGGGTGAGCACCCTGATGGACATGATGTTCCCCACGAAGCCCACCACAAAGGACACCAGGTACATCGCTGTGAGGCTGATGGTGACGGGCTCCTTCACAAAGAGGAAGAGCATCTTCT